ACTCCTTAGAAAGTCCATTGTTCCAGATCGGTCGGGAGCGTTCTCTGAAGTCCTGGATCCTCTTCGGAAGTTCCAGAGATGTTCGATAAAAATATATTCAAATTAAAATGTTAATTACTGAACAATGTTGGAGATACAGCTCGTGGGTTTGATAGAATCATTCTTCGATCCGTTGACTCGCCGCAGCTTTTCCTTCGGGTAGCATCCTTCGAAGTATCGGAGAACCGGAAGCAGGCTGTCGTCGAGTGTCCAAGCTTATTTCGCCATCTTTGTACTCTTTTGTTTTCAACTGGTGAGAAAACGGATGGTTAGGCTCGCGGATAGGCGACAGAGGAGTATCGTATCGCGATATGTCACTCCAGTCGCGTAAAACAGCGGATCCGACTGCGGAGAAACGATTTTCTGCCGGCGGTGTCTTATCTGACATCTGATTATTACACGCGTCCACCTCGTCCGCTACAACTAGTTATTCCCTTCGTTAACTTCAATGATGAATTAATTCGCCGCGCCCGTTGACACGCGTTGTCTTTCTCTTTACTTCTGTTGCCTTCTCTCTCCTTCTCGTTCCCCTAACACGCCGTGTCCAATGGGAGGCCGAAGCCGCAGCTGCCGCCTTTAACCGCCTTCCATCTTCGTTACTTCCTTTTCGACGGGAATTCGCATAATTGGATGAATCCGGAACGATCTCTGTATATTCTTATGAGAAACCTATCCTGGTATCCATTACGCTCTGTCTTTTCGAAATGGAGCAAGTACTCGGAGCTCAATGGTCGGCGGAGGGATTGTGTGACCGCCATCTTGCCTAGGTATTTTCGGCTTCTAAAGATTGTGTGCGTCACATTAGTTCTGTCATTTCTAGCTGATATGTAGCGATATTGTTTCGTAAGCTTCATTTAACTTTTATATTATCTTATTATAACTTTTTGTTTGTTTAAGCAATTTCAATCCCTATTGAGATTATAATGTCAATGTCATTTAATTGTAGTATGGTTTATCCTCTGCTGAAATATTCGACGAAATGTAAACATTAGATGTAACTATATTACAAAATGAATGGAAATTATAAAAAGTAGGGGGAAAACAAAATATTCTTTCTGAATTGATGATTCTGAATCTGATGACAAGTCACATTAAGAAATATGTAGAACCGAAAACAGGAAATGTTCAGTTTCCAATAAGTTCCACATAAATTTTGTTATCTAAAAAATGGAAAAAGCATGTCAAGGAAAGAATCAGGATTTCTCTCTGTGTCAGCGACATTAATATGTCATTGTTACTGTTTTCCCGGTTATCTTTCAAACTCTTTTACTTTCCTAGTCAGGCTACCAGCCAACTGACCGCAGCTTTGTAGCGATTAATCTCGTCAAGGGCGCGACCTATGTCCGACAAATTCAAAATTCGCTGCGTGTCGCGAGCCGCGTCAACGCCGGACTCGGTGAAAACTAGGAAAATCAGCGACAGGTCAAGAAAATTGCCGTGAAATTGCAGGATTCCTATACTCCATGAAATACTGCGTCAAAAATGTGTTGCAACATTTTTTCATATAAAACCCCGTTTCCTAGAAAATTGAAATTTAAATTCGAACTTTAAATCAGGAAAGTGACATCTTCGAATGCTTGAAATTCCATTTATTTGAAAATAAAAAATCATAGAAAAAGCTCTGAGTAAACACATATCATCAATGCATTCTGTTACGAAGATTTATTTTTTCATGATTCGAAACGCGCATTTCGAGGCATGTTGTAGGGAAACGCGGAAAAGTATGAAACAAAACTAGCGTCGATGGAAAGCGGCACAATTAATGGCGGTCGGCATTGTCTTTCGTGTTTTCAGGTGAAATTTCTGCTGATAAAAAGTAGAATGGATCGCTGATCGAGCGCGGCCCGGTTAACGGTTCTTGTTTTTCACGTTCCGCGCGGAAATCGCGAACGTCAGGCGGCCCGATACACGGTTACTGCGATATTTCATCCCGATGATCGAACAGTGGAGAACATAATCGGCCGAATTTCTATCGAGTGACTGTCAAGCGACGCGAAATTAACGGAAAACAGCGGTGGTCTTGATCAACGGGGCACTCGTCACGAGTATCGCCTGCAGAATTTTTTTTCGAGAGCGCTGCTCGAACCGTTCAATGTATCTTCAGATTAAAATAATTGAAATGATCGGAGGCCCAACAAGTGGTTCGAAAATTGGTACCGATTCAGACGGGACGGATCATTGTAATTAACGCGTACGGGAGCGATTTCGAAAACGAACAAAAAAGGAAATCAATCGTACACCGGGATCGGTATTATCGGTAAGTAAATGCAACTCGACACGCGTACAACTTCCGCCGAAAATCGATATATAGGATTTCCGCAGCGGTTCCCAGCGACCAGATTTAATCATGACGCGGCAACGGTGCTGCAAACGATCGGATTCAATTAAATCGCACGGGAATCGCTCATTTGCGTTACAATAATATCATTGACGTCGATAATAACAGCATTCGCCGTGTTTGTCGACAAACCACACCCCGACGCAATTATCACAGCTGAATTTTAACGAAAACGTTACATTCGACGTTTCAGAAGAGATCCCGGAATAGCTTTCCGCTTGACGTGTGCGAGGTAATCGCACTTTTCTCTGGAAAATCGTTTCGCCGGCATCCTTGGTTCGCCTCGCGAATAAAATTTCGTTCCCGTCGAAAGTTACGCGTGTGAATTTTCATGCGCGCCGCTCGAAGCCCGTATCGCTTCCATCCGCGCGTTCCCTCGCCAATTACACGCCGTGGCTAATTCCGTTTGAGCGGTTCCATTTCAATTAGCATATTTTCGTTGGAACCGAATCTGAACGAGGTAGGAATCGGAAACGGGAGGCCGCGGTGCGCGCGCGCGAACCTCAACGCACGGGAAACGCCGCGAGCGGGAATCCAGGTGAAACGGCGCGGACGCAGAGAAATACGAGACAGATGAACGGTATCGATTTAATGATCGGCTCGCGCAGACTTTGTATGATAACAATCATGAAGTCATTAACTCTGGCAACAGGTTTCGCGCGTTTTTCCACCTTCTCCATTTTCTCGCTCCCCTCTCGTGCGATTCCCTCGCGCTTTTTTCCTCTCCCCTTCCCACCCACCCCGTTTTTTCCCGCCAACCGCGGGCGCAGTCGGCGATCAATCGGAACGGTAAAGAAAATACCAGAAGCCTGTGTCCGTGCCGCTGACTATTAACCGGGTGATTAGTCATAAATATATAATCACGATTTGCCTATAATACGCTAATGATAATTCCCATCGCGATCGATTACGAGGGTGATGGCTGATTGGTCTGCAACTAAGATCTCGGTTCTAGGGTCACATTACAAATCGTGGGAACGATTGCAAAATTCATTCCAGAATCGCGACTTTCACCGAAAGACGCAGATCGCGTTAGGAGAGTATAATATTTTTTGGAATGTCAGAAAATTGGTGTAGAATTTTCTAGATCAACTGGAATAAAAAGGATCGGAAAATATGGGTATTATTTTCAGAAGTTACAAGCGGCTAATTCGATTTTATTGTTTAACTGTAACGGTTCATAGGATTCTTACCTAATCCGCGAAGGATCGATAAATTTCGAGAATAAGCGACAGATAAATTTTGCGAACGCGGCCGATTTGGAAAAGTTGATCGCGTCTCCTTGCTCGTTATCTTAATCGCCGGCGGTTATTGATTCCGCAATTTAGTTAAAAGGGGAGCCGACAAATTTACGAGGATTTTATGTAGATGCTAGCGGCATTCGTATTCAGAAATAATAAATATGGTCGTCGTTCGGTCGAACGTTAACGCGCGACGTACCACGACCGAAGGGAGTCACGTGAACCGTTTCGTTAATCGGCCTATTAACAGGGAACTTACTAATTGTGCTTAGCTAAATCGTCAGCAGGGTCGAATGGAAATGAAATTCTCCCGGGGAATTGAGCCCAGACACGCTCGTCGTACCAAAAGGAAAAACAAAATTATTTATCAAACGAACAGAACAATTTATGTCGATAATTCATATGGATATAGTTTTTAGAGGAATGAGTAACGAAGTCGATAAAAACTTGAATATACATTATATTTGGCGGTAAATAAAAATTCGGAACCTTGAATAATAATAGACGACGCTATACAAATATAAAATAATTGCTTTGTAAGCATTATGACGTAAAAGAATGAAAGGACGTTTCTTCAGATGGTTCCAAATAACATTTCCGTGACCATAGTTAGTTCGATTCGAATTGACCATTGAAAAATCGCGATCGAATCGTAAACGACTCCCATATTCCCGGTTCAGGACAGACGTAGCACCTTAAAAATAGAACTGACGCTGTCCAAAGGTCAACAAAGCAATCTATCGTCACCAATTGTTCTTGTGGAATCGATCGAACCGATTGATCGACCCTCGAAGCGACGCTGAAACGTTCAAGATTCGCATCCGCGAAAAATCCGCGGTCTGCTCGCGTTCCGCGGAACACCGTCGAACATTCCGACACTTAATTCTCAAATGGGATTGATTAACCGTTGAACAATATCGTTTCACTCGACTCGGGTACTTCGAGCATTGATTATCGCGGGTCGCGCCGTTAATACCGGAGTGGAGCGCGGCGCCAAAAATTGATACGGCGCCCGTTGTTTTGCGAACCGTCTATTTAAATCCGCTGAAACGAATGATTAATAATATTTTAATTAAGGAGCGCGGTAATTGTAATCGAATATTATCAATACCGAGCTGGATACGCGAGCCGAAGTTTGACGGACGCAGTTTATCGTTTAATCATATTAAATCATTCCACACTTCGCTCAATAACACGATTCCCTCCGGTACTTCAACCCCTTCGCGATTTTATTCCGAAATTGTTTGCTTAATCAGCGGTTTACTAATATTAAACAGCTGTGATTACGAGTTAACCATTGAAAAAAGGAGATTATGGAAGACTTAGGCGGGTTGGGAATCAAATGAATGATTTATTAATAATTTTTTAATGGTTTCTTTCAGGCTTAGGCCTTGGCCCACACACCCCCGAAGAAGCAGCCGTCCTGGCGGCCGCAGCGGCAGCATTGCACCACCACCATCAGGGTGCACCTGGTGCGCCAACGATGAGGCCGCTCAGGCCTCATCTACCTCCGGGGATGCTTCACACGTCGCCGCACCCCCTGGCGCCCCATCACCCCCTCGCCGGCCCTCATCCTGCCCTCATGCCACCCCCGGAAGACGACGGTGTCGTCGACGATCCAAAGGTTACCCTTGAAGGCAAAGAACTATGGGAGAAGTTCCACAAACTTGGCACGGAGATGGTGATCACGAAAAGCGGCCGGTAGGTTCCACAACCTTTCAAAAAATATCTGCGAATAACAAGGTTTTATGCAAATTATGATATGTATGAAGTGCTTCGTAAAAAAGTAAATGGTAGATAAATATTAGAAATTATCTTGGAACTACCTGCAAAATGTTTCACCTTAATTTACATTAATTATACATTGTAATTGCATAAAATTCGTTGTTCAGGTGTGAGTAATTTCTGTCATTAGCGGAAGACTTATCAAAGCTGCACCAGTTTCCTCTAGTCTTCATCTTACATAACCGAGTCAAGTGAACTTTAGTTCCCAGTTAATAAATATAAATATTCCTTGGTTCAAAGTAACTCAAGGAAAATACTGTTACATAGTCAACAACTCTTTGCCAGCTTTCAGTATATTTATAGTTAATATTTAGTCGCGTGTCGCAATACAAACACCTCATTGCTCGACGAACGGGAAGACACTTCGATGATGCTAATAAGCAACCGATGAGTCACAAGCGTGGTCGCCGATCGCCAAGTTGAACGCTTGGTCGCGCGCGGTGGCATCGCGATTTTCGGCGAGTGATGGGGCACATCAATCGCGCGGAGAGTGCGTTGCTCGCGATAGGAGGCGACGACGTAAGGCAAGAGCCGTGAGAAAAATGACGGGCTACGGGCGAAACACGAGAAGTCAAGCGGGGCCCGCGAAACCGCAGGAAATCGCGTCCCCGCTGACCGGGTTCGGACTCGTTCGCGAAATTCGCTCGGCGGGAGATGATTTCGGTTCGGGAAAAATCGAAGGTACACCGGGATTGCGGGTAAAGGGAACGTCGCATCGCGTCGTTCAATACTCTCGTCGTAAAAGTTTCTTGCGCGCGACCTCGGCAACCCCTTTCGAAAACGAATCTGTCAGCGGTTGGTCGGGTTCAGTTGGCTGGCTCGGTTTAAAACTCTTGTATCTCGTCACCGTAAAAAATTCAAAGGTTCTATGGCCGTCGAAGCGAGCCGGCTCTGTGATCGAAAATTTTTCTTGGATTGTAAACCGGTGGCGAACTCTCGACGCGAAAGGGGGTAGAAAGAGTAACGGGGCGCGCGCCGCGCGAGTTGAACGAACAGGAGTAAGAAGTTCGCCGCGCGGCGCGGTTCGATCGAGCCGCCTGGTAGACGAAACTCCATTATTCCGACGACAGACGGAAAACGGCCGAGACCCGCGCCGGGAAACTGTAATAGCTCGGAAATAGCTCGAAAACACGGGTGGATACGAGACGGCGAGTGAAAGGGCGAGCATGCATGTTTACATATTTCATATGCGACACGTCCAGATGAGTGTAAAAAGTTACGCGCTGGTGTGTACCCTGGATTGTGATCACCAGCTGGCGGCCTAGCGTCTATACCCGCGCGCGGATTTAGTGTGGGAGCACCTTTTTCCCCTTTTTCTGGTCGGTTCTCTTTCAACGGGCTGAATAATTAACCAGGCTTTCCGGGCATTTCCTACGAAACAGACGTGGTCGTCCCGCGGTCATTAGCGTCAATACGACGTAGATGTTCAATCGAGTGGCGAATAAAGTAACTTGCTCGCTCGCAGTATCGAGGGCTTCGGTATATAAGTTTGCCACGGAATAACACATTCGGAAAATGCACTCCGCGAGAAAGGCTAACTTCTGGGCCCGCTTGGGTAGGTCTGCGGCGCAGGTAGCAATTAACAATTAAATGACCACATATTATTTCTTATATAGCTTTGCTCCGAGGGTAGCTATTTTCTCATTTGAAAATGAAAAATAAGCGCAGGCGATGAAGTGTCCATAAACTTATTGAATTTATTAGTGTACCTAATATTACCGCTGGCAAAAGAAAATATTCGATGGAAATCGTGAACGCAATTCTTTACGGAATAGAACAACCGCGAAAGAAACGAAAATGGTATTGTGCGTTCTCCTGTATATGAAGATTCTAAACAATTCATGTCAAGAATAATTTTTCTCTAATATTTTAAAACACTTAATAACCAATAAGTAGAAAAAAAATACAAACGAAAAATCTCGTTAACAATTTTTCAGAGAGTTAAACTGTGATACAAAGAATAGTTATAGAACTAAAAATAATACAAAGAGTTAGCTCTCTCACGATGAAAAGGAACATCTCCCCACAACAGCTACCGTGAAACACAAACCACTACAGCGCAACTCAAATCGTCCACTCCCCACCCCAGATGAACCTCTAAACAACTGTTGCCCACGTACTAGGCCCCTCGCGTGGCCAAACCCCTTCCATACGCCGCATTAACCTACAATGACGGTGGTGGTTCGCGCCCAGATAGCGTAAGGCCCGGTTAGCTAGGACGAGAATGGCTTGAACCGTCACAAAAACGTCGGGACACGTATCACGGTGCGGATATAACCGTCGAAAATGATCGAGGGGCCGTGCCCCGCTCTAAATCAATCTCCATCGATAAATAATAAGCAGTCGAGGAGTTTAAGGCCTGTCCCAGAGGGGGCGCAGACGACGATCACGGATAATTACACGCGCGGAAATTGTGCCTGGCCCAATCTACGTCCGGTGGTCTCTACGTCTCAATATAGGAACGGCGGGGCCTTCTCGCGAGTTCTCCCCCGCGATACCCTGACCTACCGGTGGCCCAGGACCCAGCGCCACGCATCTAACCCGGAGGGTCCGAGGCCGGGACTGCTCCCGGCCTGGAATCGTCCAGGACTCGCATAATACACGGCCCAGAAATGGGTGGGAGAGGAGGGCTAAGTATAGGGCTGGCTTAACGATGTTTGTTTTATACATTGGCAGCCTGTTCACGAACCTGTAATCTGTCTAAACGAGATATTACCCGGGCCCATCGCGAACACGGACCGGTGGCCGAGTGGGGCCCGGGGATAGGGGTTTCGCACTCGTGGTGCAGCGGGCCCCGAAATTGCCCCACCGGAGCCACAAATTGCTGCCCATTCACCAGTTCCACCGTACGCGGTCGTATCCCGGGATTGTGAACGGGATCCGATGATGGTCTCGTTGCGGAGACCTGATCTCTTTCTTCGACGGTTTTCAGTCGCTGCGGGATTGCTCGATATGAGACTGCGTGCCTTCATCGTTCCCGGTTTTCTGATTAATAGAGTATGCGGATTTTATACGCGAATCTTTGCGACAGAATTAGCAACGCTGAATAGAAGTGTATAGAAGTTCTTGGGTGGTGTTGTTAATTAATAGAGTTTCTTTGACGAACGAGGTTTTTCCGAGGAAAGTTCTTTAGAGACTTTGCCCCAGTGAGTACACGTGAACAGTGACGAGAATTAATTCTATCATCGGGTAATTATTTCGAATTTCGCTGAAAACTACGAGGATGGTCTCAAAATAAAGGTAAAATATTGGACGGATTAGAAACAAGAGAAACGCTGAATAAATTTGCATCGGAGTTTGCGCATTATTATTCCACGGGCAGATTTTTGCAAGTTAAAATGACGACTGTTCATCCTACTTGGTCAACGATCGGCGAGTAATTCGCGGTGTTCGCCTCCGTTCGTATTCAGACTATAAAGGAATCGCTGCTAATTGGCCGGTTTCGGTCGCGCATTAAATTTCAAAACAGTTTATCAAGAGTGGAACAACGGAACGCTTAAATGAGTCAATTAGACAGTGAGTGAGCACACACGGAGGGAACAGGCCGGCGTAAATAAAGAGAAGTTTCTGACGATTTGATGCGGTTAGCGAGCCGCTGTTTGCAGTCGTTTAGCGCCTGCTTTATGGGACTTGATTTCTCTGATTTTTAAATCGAATAAACGCCGGCGAGCGCCGCGGGACCAACAAACCATAAAGCCACCGCCATCACGCCGACCAATGAAATCTTTACGCAATCTGCTTGAGGAAACATTGAAACTGTACAGTCTTTTTTCTCCTTTCTTTCTTCTTCTTCATCTTCTTTTTCTCCTTCTTCTTCATCTTCTTCCTCTTTTTCTTCTTTTTCATCGTCTCTTTCTTTTACTTTTAATGCTTTTAAGATTTCGTAGAAGGATCACGGACTACTATCGTCTGCTTTCAAACGAAACCTTCGATTTCAGTTGGGTGTGCGACGCTGCTAGCGCAAAATTTTCCGTGAAGCTTCCCGAAAACGGAGATAAAAGTTATCGTGACTCGCGGGGTATGAGAATAGAAGGTTGCGCAACGAAACTCGACATCACACGTATCGGGCGATGAAATATGCAAGTTCATATTCGACGTTTAAACCCGTACTTATCGTTAACACTTTTCGTCGGTTGCTATCATTGACGAATGTTAATTTTCACGTCCAACTTGTCAGGAAACGGTCACTTAAAACAAAATTCCGGAGTAGAGGAGAGTGAGTCGCGCGGAAACGATCACTATTATTTTATTTTCAACGAATTTCCAATCGCAATACTGTAGACCTTCGGAAAGAATGCTTTTCATAAGCCTTTAACACGATCGATATCTACACCATATTACCATTAAAAAGTAGTTCTGGGAAAAGCTGTTTCGATTCCGCAACCTGATTCTTCCCACATTAATCGCTTCCTACTCACCCTCGCCTTATGAAATATTACAAAGAGTTGGGAATCGAGGATTGAAACGGGGGTAAGCAGGCAATAAAGTGAAAATCCGAGCAATTATTTACATCTTATCAAATCGGGTTAACATTTCTTCAGCCCCGGGCACCGGAGTGGTCCCCGAAACAGGGGTGATTTCCGTCACGCATTCGCGTGCGTTTCGTTGCTCGATCGATCCGATTTACTTTTCATCGGGGTTAGTCGGTGTGTGTGTCTGACACTCGAATAATCTAATCGGCGGTCCGGGTTCACGTAATAATTCCATCGGAAACGAGACCGAGCGGGCTGGATCGCGTGCAGACGGAGCTCGCGCCTCGTCGCGTACCGTGTATCCGTGTTTTCTGCCGCGAGCTATCAGAGGTGACGACTTCAGCCTTGACTCCTGACGCGGAATTAGCATTCTTTAATCGTCGTGTCCGATCACCCTGTGTCCCCACGCACCTGCGCGCGGTAGGAACACTGTTTCGAAGGCTA